TTTACTCTTCTATCTACTTAGCGATGAATGATAATGCAGTGTGTTTTCTCGTTAACTAGCGGCTTTAACAGAGGAGCAAAGACTGTCACGTCTGTAATGAAATGCAAAGGGAGTTTAGCATCAGCAAACAGCTGAAGAAAGGGATAATTTCTGCTTTAGTTTTATCCAAACAAACTATACAATTAATCCATCTTCTTGCTCACGATTATCTTTAAGTTCATTTAAATGTCTAGCGCACAACCAGAAACAGACTGTGACATCATCAGGCACAAGCCCCTCCCACTCCTCAGAGGTATTTTAAGCCAGGTCAGCATGTCACTGGTCAAGATGTTTTACGTGATATGTTGTGTTGACAGGTATTGCATTAATAAGGAAGTGCTTGGGCACCTAGAGACACACTGATTGACAGTATGCTGCCTCCAAATCTGACCAGGTTGACCTCTTTCCCACCTAGGAAAAAATCGACCTCTCTGTAGTGTGTATTTGTGGGTTTAGGCTGTCGCCAGAGAGACAGAGGTGAGCTGGGGCCAGGGGCCAGGCTATTTGTCAGCAGTATTCATAGCAATGCTCCCAGCAGCTCCCTGCGTTGGTCTATTATCAGGTATTAGTTGCATATAGATTGATATTGAGGGAGGGGCTCAAGCCATATCTAGGGACCAGAATATTACTCCTGCTAAAGAAAGGAAGAAAAAGAAACATGTTGAAACCAGTTTAAGATGGTCTCTCACCCTGGCCAAGCAGGTATTTAACTAGTTTAGCTGGGTGACTAGCTGAAAAATGCCGCCATAAAACCAGTCAAAAGACCAGCCTTACCAGGCTAATACTAGAAAGACTAGCCTAAGCTAGTCTTTCAGCATGGTTAGCTGGGCAACTAGCTACAAAGTGTCCAAAACCCCTCTAAAGGAAGGCTAACTGACCTGCCTGACTAGGCTAAGACCAGAAAAATGGCTTAGGCTGGTTTAAGATGCAATTTTTTAAAACCATCCTAAGCAGGTCTTTCAGTATGGCCAAGCTTGTTTTCAACTTGTTAGCAAGAGCCAGCCAATCTCAAAGTCAATCCTGACTTGGTTAGGCTGGTTTAGGATGTTTTTCTTCAGCAGTGTTAGAAAGTTGATGTGGGTTCTTCTGACTTGGGTCATTAAGCAACCCCCCATACAAGTCTTGCAACAAGCCTAGCAACCAGTCAGAACACCTTAGCAACCACATAGCAAAGCCTTTTAGCCATGTTTTTTTTTCCCCAAAACTATTTGTGTCAGCAAATCCTTATGGTATCTGTTCATTATTTTCATAAACTTTGACCCTTTGATATAAGGTTTATATCTAGTATGGAGGAGGCCAGTGTACTGCTGCATAGGATCATCTGACCACTCCAGAGACCAGACTCTATTATTTCACTTAAGCTGATATCTTTGTTATGGTTGACTGCTTTTGTGGCACTAATGTGATAGGAAAGGGCAGAAAAATAGTTTTTAGCCTAATGTTCCTGTATTCAAACAGAATTACAGCTGGGGTAAGCAGTCTTTGATATTCAGAAATGTCTGGAACGTGTGAAAGTTTAATGATAATGACTCTCTAAATTGTCCAAAGGCAAAATGAGAATGGCACTTTGGTGGTATAAAATGGAAAAATGAACTCTATAAAGCCTCTTTCCTTTTATTTGGTCTTAGCGACAGAAATATTTCAGGAATGAACTATCTCAGCAGGGTTGGGTGCAAAGTGCATTAAAAATCTCTCAAATGAATCAGTCCTGAGGGGTTTAGCAAGTTGAATCTGAGGAAACAGGAAAGACTTTAATCAGGGTGGACACCATGCTTTGTAGGATGTGAAAGAAATCATTCATTTTTGGTTATGCTTAAAATTCAATGCCTAAGAGAAATATCTTAGTGTTAGTGCAAGCTCCTACAAACCATCTTTAGTTTTTTGTTTATTTTAAAGAAATGTTTGACGATTTCTAGGTCCAGGGACCTTTTCAGTGTTATTAATTTCCCAAACCTTCAGTGAGACTGAAAGCAAGATCTGTAATATTAATTACTCAAGATGATCAAACACAGAGTAATTCAGTCTGACTAGAGTTCCATAAAGCAGTTCAGTCAATACAGAGACGTACTATAATAGAAGAGCATTACGTTAGGGGTCAGTAAATCTCTCAATGCACCATTGCCCAGTTTTGTCTTTACTTTCTACTTAAACAGGTAGCCATTATGGTAATGATTGGTTCATTCTCTCCATTTATTTAACAGCCTCTGTGCACTAAAAAGAATTAAGCCTTGAATAATGTGCTGCACTTTACAGCTGCATCTTATTATGTACCATAACTCATGCACAAATACCATTATTTGATTTTGTAACTTCAGTAAATGAAGTTTTTCAACAAACTGCCTTTTCATTTCAATGTCATTAAAATGCATTAAATGGTTCATCTGGCTTTGTCATGCCATTAGTAACCTAGCAGAGCACAGATTTGTGAAGGGCCCTCATAGATACAGGGCATTTTCAATCCATAATGAAGGCTTTCAGTCAATACCTTGTAACCAAAAGCATCTGTAGAACTGGGCAGACATAAAAAGCAGAAATGTGATTTCAGTCATTCATCACGATTGACCCACTCCTGAAAATAATACCATGACACAAAAGGGATATTATTGACTCAGCCAGACTGAAAACATATTTCTTTTATGGACCCCTCTTGGCTATGGGGTTCCCACACTTTTAGAACAATGAATCCATGACTTTTCAAGTATATATTTATTTCCCATGGCTTTCCAGACCTGTATTTTTCAGTTTTTGTAAAATTCCTGATAATTTTACATTTTTTAATGATTGTGGGGACCCTCTAACTCAGGGGTCTCCAGCTATAAGAGGTACTGCACTTTTTGTTAGATCCTAAACAAAATTTTGTGGGGAAAAAAAATAAAAAAATGGGGTTAAAGCAAACATTATTATTAATTTTATTTAGTGCTGGGCAACGATTAATCGCATCCAAAATAAAAGTTTTGGTTTACATAGTATATGTGTGTGTGCTGTGTATATTTATTATGTATATATTTAAGAAAATATATTATGTTTATATATTAAATATATTTCTATATAATTTATATGAATATACATATATACATGTAAATGCATGTAAATATTTTCAAAATAAATACTGTATGTGTGTATGCTGTATTTATATATACACAGTGTTGGGAAGGTTACTTTGTAAATGTAATAGGTTACAGATTACAAGTTCCCCCCTTTGTAATCCTTGATATTTTCATAAGTAACTGTAATTTAATTACACATTTTTTCTTAGTAACTGTAACTGATTACAATTACTTTTATTTTGTAATTAAATTATGTAATTCCATTACATGTAACTAGTTACTCCCCAACACTGTATATACATAATAAATATACACAGTACACACACACACATATACTATGTAAACAAAAACTTTTATTTTGGATGCAATTAATCGCGATTAATCGTTGCCCAGCACTATTATTATCATTATTATTATTATCGATAACCCATTTTTTCACAAAAATTTGTATTTGAAAATTAATAATAACAACAACAATAACAACAACTGATGAAGTAGCTTGCAATCAATATTGTTTTAATTTTTAAGATGTTATTAAAGTTGTCTTGTATTCTATTCTAATATCTTTTATAGTTTTATTTTTCAGTTTTGTTCATTTCTGTTCAATTTTGTTTTATTATTTTTTGTTTATTTCTGTTTTGTTTAGATCTGTTCTGTTCTTTTCATTTCTATTCTGTTTTGTTGTTATATTCAGTTAATTTCTGTTTAGCTTTGTTCTGTTCATTTTTGCAAATATGTACATTAATATAATACTTTATGCATTTTATGTTAATGTAGACCAGTCTTAGAATTACATTTTTATACTGTATGTAACAGGGGGTCTCTATGTCGTGTGCTTGTGCACTCTGAAAAAGAAATTTGTAGCTAGTAAAATGCACTGTGGCATGAGGGTAAAAAAAAAGGGATTTGCAGTATAACACGTCCGAGAACAGAATAAGTCACATTAGGAGCTGTGTAAGTGTAAGCAGGTAACAGGAGCAGATACAGAGATAGAGTGGAAAAGGGCACTTGAAGAAATTTCAATTAGCAGCATCAGTACAGGTGTGCAGCCGGCCATGAAGCCTGAGCCACGGGAGCGAGGGGAAGAAAAACAAGCAGTGCTGAGATGGTGTCTGTTAAAGGGAACGGCGAAAGATGAACGCTGTCTGACATAATGATGTGGAAAATGACAAGCACCATTTCATATCTCCTGTCAAAGCTTGTAGTAATTGACACACAATGCACACAATTCCTCACGGAAGTGGCATACCGGCATACTCCATGTCGGCGTCAGGTGATGCAAGGTGCGTGATATGACAAAAGAGCCATTTATTTATGATGCGCATGATGCAGTCTGTTGAAAGATCGGTACGAGGGATTTTCCACAGGTACGTGGAAATCCCTCGTGGCTTCAGAGAACCTTACTACGGTACAGCACGGAGGAAGATGATTGATGGTGGTTGTAAATCTCAGCACTCTTTCTAGTCCTCATCAAACGAACATTGTTAGCTTTCCTCTTCCCTTTCAGATCTGAGGGAAAATTATGATTCAGTGTGTTGTTCCTTGCACTGTACATGAAATTGCTACCTGTCACTTTCAATGCACACTGATTATGACTACGGCGTGGGCCGCGGACAGAGGGTGATTATTTGTCTTTAAAAGCCATTCAGTGGATGTGGCGCTTTTGCGTGCTGCGTGTCACCGTTTCAGAGTTAATTACAGATGAGCAGTAATAGCTCTGAGATGCTCGGTGAGCCACGAGCCAGAGATGCAGCGATACACTCAGCACGCCTTTTTCATAGGAGGCCTGCACTTCGCCACCCTCGGCCACGTACAAAGGCGAAAATGTCAAATCTCTCTGTTGGCTTGGATCTGATGAAACGAACAAGCTTGAAGAAGCATAATGATCAAATCTTTTGTGTTTCTGTCTTGCAGATCCTTCGGTCCACCACCGGCAGAAAGCAGTGGTTTCTGATCTCACTTTCCAGACAGGCATGTCGAGCTTGATGGACTTCGGAACTCCAGATTCTTCACTTGACAAAGGTAAGATATCCATATATGCATAAGCACAATGTTTCAGTGCTTAGTAGTCATTTTCCACAGGCTGTGAACATGCAGAGCTCGGGTAATTCATCACAACGGTGAAAGGCAAATAAAACAAAGCCATTGTCCTGTGAATTTTCAGCTTTTTCCCCCCCCCGCTTATCTGTTTGTGAGGAACAAAGTGTATGCGACTAAAGAAATGCACTTGTACAAATTGCGAGAGAGTCGTCTTCCAAGAAAAGAAAAAAGCTTTGTCTGATTCGTATAATGTCACCCGCTGCGAGGAGGTGTCATTATGAAGTGTATTGATCAAACTGGAAATTGAACAGAATCTCTAAGTCTTATTCTAGACATCCCATTTTCCACACATAATGACGCCTGTTACTCTCTATTGCCTTTCCCTCCGAAGTGCTGTCCTCCTAAATCATTATCTTTATGTCTGTATCAAAGCCAACATCACAAAGAAGCTAAACTACCCTCGTAGGATGATAGAGGGTCTTCCTTTTAACTAGTACTGGGAATAATTTTCAACTTCACTTAGGCTGATTTTGTGTATGTCTTGTTTTAGATTTTGTGTATGTCTCATTTGACAGTATTACCATTAGTACCATGGTATATATTAACGTATCACAGTATTTTCTGATGCCATCACTTTACGATGGTGCTGTCACAGGATCGTTCTGTTCTATCTTATTCTTTCTGTTTTTCTTTCTCTTGTTTTTATACTCTGTACCTCTTTTTTCTGTACCTATTCTGTTCCCTTGTCTTGTTCGTTTCACCCTGTGCAAAAAGCATCATTGATGTTGTGCTTGCTGTCAGTACTTCATTATTCCCAGCCGAGCCTTAAATTGTTTTGAAAGATAACGCGCAGTCTGCCACGCAACTGTATCTATGCAGTTGAGAAATAAAAGGAAGCATGCAGCCGTATTAGAGATGCTTTAATGTACTAAATCCATTACTTTCAGCCTCACATGCCCATAAAAGCTCACTTATGTGCAGCACCCCTCGGAAAACAACAACTCAACAAATACTCTCCAGATGAGCTTTTCCTAATGGACATGTGTATATTTAATCAACCCACAAGAGCTCTTGGGCCCATCCTATCTGATATTAGGGCAGTCACTCATTCATTACACAAACAGCATATGCTTCAAAGTATCACATTGAGTTGTTTGTGTACGAACTGGTCATTTTTTCCCCCAGCAGGCACTCTGAACTCAGCACCAGCATCCTGGTCTTTAAGAGAGAGTGATAAAAGGAGAGATGAGTCAGTGTTAAGACCCTGAGAGCCCTTGAGTCCTCCTGCCTGGCTGTGCTTGAGACTGCCACTCGCTGCAGGTTGAAGCCGGTGCACTGAGACAGAGATCGGGCCCCTATCTGCTGGTGGCTCCATTAGTTCCATGAGAAAGAGGACACTCAACCAGCCCTTTATCTGACAATACGTCCCACAGATCCCTGAACAGAGTCTGTTGCAATGAATTATGGGATGTGGAGGGAGAAAGATGGTGGACAAAAGTGGATATACTTTTAGTTCAAGAAAGAGCAAGTTTGTGGGGGTTTATAAAGGTCACAGGTATTGTTAACATGCCTTAAAGGGATAGTTCAGTCAAAAATGGAAATTCAGTCATCAGTTACTCTCCCTAAAGTCATTCCAAATTTGTTTGAGTTTCTTCGGTAAAAAGTAAACTTTATCAGAATGACATGAATGCTCTTTTCTACACAATAAAAGCGAATAGCACCAAAAATGACACACAAAAAAACACACCATAAAAATAGTCCATATGACTATTTTTTTATTATTTTATTTTGTAGTTCATTTTTAGGGAACTGTTCCTTTAACATTAAGAGAACAGTCTGTCTGTGTCTTATTTCCACCATTAGATGGAGCTGTGGAGCCTCTGAAGAGACACTCACCTGCCCTCTCACCTGATCAGAAAAACGATTTGTCTCCTCCCCCTGTCCTATGAATGCGCCTGTTCAAACACGGCTGGGAAAAGCAGTGCCATTTCCCTTTTGAACTCTGCACTTTTTAGGCTGGGAGGAGTGTGTGTGTGTGTGTGTGTGTGTGTGTGTGTGTGTGAGTGACAGAGAGCGAGAACAGGTAGAAAGGGTGTAGAGGGGGTGGGGAACTTTAGAAAATGCCCAAGAGAAACTCCTAGAACAGGTATACGGCTCAAAGAGGAAGGCGGCTCAAACTTGTTTATACTCACTCGGGAACACCTCCCTAGTAACCTGTCAGGGAGGAGTGTGCGTGCAGCAGTAGGAGTGAACTGTGTACCTGTGTGTGTGTTAATTTCTTGCTATGAGAAGAAGCACCAGTGCTGACAGTGGAGCCTGCTGGAGCCGGCACTGTGGGGGGCATGAGATCTGAAAAAGAGGAGGGCGGACCAGGTGAGTGTTTGTCTGTGTACATGAATTCAAGATGGAAACGACAGCCATGACACACCAATGAATTATACAACCAGCTGACCAGTCATGTAAATCTGTACGTATTACGATGCACAGAGGCTCTTCACGTGTACCGGCAGGTGTTGGGACATATGTAGTGAATTGGGTGACCCATATCAATGGTTCCCAACCAGGAGTTTCTTTGTTAAACCTATTGTATAAAATAGAAATTGTGACAAAATAGTAATATTATGGCTGTTCCTTTTTGAAGAAGTCAAGTAGGCCATAATATAAATTAAAAAGATCACATTTCAGGTTTTGTGTGTTATGGATTTACTGGTGGGGCAAATAAGTCAAAAAAGATTGGGAAACACTGACCTATATCCCATACGGCTGATTAAACCTTTGGTACTTTGATGGATGACCAACTTTTAGACTATTTGATGAGTCAAGGCATGTATGTACTTGTCTTTAATTTCATGTAATCTGGAGTAATGCTATGATACTATACTATGACACATGGTATGATTACCATGTGTGACGTGTAGCTCTTACCCAGTATTCAGCTGTAATTACGTTAGTGACACATACGTTGTTTGTGAGATCATATGAGATGGTCATACAGAGGCATCATGCTGTCTGTTTATGTGAGGGATATTTGCGAATCCCTTCATCTGACCAATAATCTGTCACAATAATCTGCTTTGAATGTATGAAAATGATCAGAGAGATCGAGTAAATGTTCTGGGGAACTGTGTTGTAAAAACGGTCGTATAAGCGGAGAAATGAAAAGAAAAACATATTCAATTTTCAATTTTTTAAAAATGTTGTATTCACCTTTTATTGTAAAAGTGGAAACATTTCATGGGCATTTCCCAAGCTTATTGTTAATCTCGTTTCAGTATGTTGTGACATTTTAAAATCATTACAATCCTCTCTCATTGGTTTACTCACAAAACCATAAAAGCTGATCCGGAATCAGCCTGTTTGTTTGTCTATAGTGGCTACTAGTAATAATCCCTGCGTCTTCTCCACACCCCGCTAAAACAACACTGTGAGACTGATCTTTACACTCCTTATACAAAGTCTAACAACAGACCGAGCAGGAACTTATGGATCATATTTAGGCACTTTGATAGTTGCCATCAGCAAAACAGGAGGAATGTGAATTACGCATACAGTAGTTTACTTAACGTTACACTGTCTCAGCACACATACTGCGAATTCTCTCTCATGAAGATAATTATATAGGTGATTAATGTGTCTTATGAAGTCAGTTTTCATCTGAAGCTGCTCAGCAGTGTACTTTTGAATGCTTGGTTTATTGTAAACACACTTCCTGAAACGCTTGTTTGATTCATTGGAATTTAAGTGTTTGATCTCTATGGTATGACAGTGCAGCTTGTGCCTTTGAAAGTTTTTAGGGTAGGGTAGTATTGTTTTTGACTGAATGTTGTTTTTGTGTTCTTCCTTAACCTTGCCTCAGGACACTTCCACCGTTGCTCTTTGAGATCAGCTAACATCAGACAAGGACATTGGTTGATATTCCTTATATTTATGTATTTGTGTGTTATATAGGGCCTTTAGAGGTGAGATTTATTTTGCATACAGTTATAAATAGCAGTATTTACCATACACTATTGTTCAAATGTTGGTGGTTGATAGAAATGCATTTTTTGCATGATGATGATGATGATGCTAATAAATGATTCTTTAAATGGACTGATTGAAAACTGATTCCCAGAAATTTATCAACTGCATCAACTCTGCCATTTTTAAGTTTAAATCAGAGAGTCCTAAGATATACAGTGGTGTGAAAAAGTGTTGGCCCCCTTCCTGTTTTTTTGGATGAGTCGTCATTGTGCTCTTGGAGTAATTTTTGGTTGGCCGGCAACTCCTGGGAAGGTTCACCATTGTTCCAAGTTTTCTCAATAATGTGTTGCTCTTTAAGCATGCTTCACTTTGTCAGACAGGTTCTATTTAAGTGATTTCTTGATTCAACAGGTCT